TTGCTTCTCAAGACGAATATTTACGTGTTCGCTTGAACGATGTATGAAATACCAGGTGTACCTCTAGAAACCACGTGTCATCACTTAAATGTCAACCCGAGCTTTAAACCAGTGAAGCAAAAGCAAAAAAGGTCGGCACCGCAACATAGGGAGGCGATAAAGGAAGAAGTAGCAAAACTGTTAGAAGCACAAACCATCAAAGAAATCCAGTATCCAACCTAGTTGTCAAATACGATGGTGGTGAAGAAGAAAACAAAAAATGGTGGGTGTGCGTTGACTTCATCGACCTAGACAAGGCATACCCAAAGGACAAATTTCCTTTGCCTAAGATTGTTTAAATTGGTCAATGCAACATCTAGTCATGAGAGAATGAGTTTCCTTGATATGTATAGGAGATACCACCAGATCCCACTTGTCAAGCAAGATCAGGAAAATACATTGTTTATAACCCCAAAAGGAATTTACTGCTATAGAGTGATGTTGTTTGGGCTAAAAAACACAGGGGCAATGTACCAGAGATTGGTGACAAAGATGTTCTCATATATGTTGGGCGACACTATGGAAGTCTACATCGATGATATGGTGGTAAAGAGCCAAAAAGAAAATGATCACATTATGGATCTAAAGAAAACTTTTGACGTCCTTCATAGATACAAGATGAAGCTGAACGCTTCAAAATGTGGATTTGAGGTCGATTTCGGAAAGTTTTTAGGCTTCTTAGTCGTTCTTCGTGGAGTTGAGGCAAATCTTGATCAAGTTGCAGCCTTGACAAAGTTGTAACCACCAAAAATGGTTAAAGAGATGCAAAGATTGACAAGGATGGTGGCAGCACTTGGTAGGTTTATATCATGAGTCTCTGATAAATGCTGACTATTTTTCAGTCCACTAAACGGAAAGGTGAGATGATATGGATCAGGAATATGAAGATGCCTTCAATAACTTGAAGTCCTATTTGGTTACTTCACCTCTGTTAATGACACCATCCTCATGAGAACGGTTGTCATTATACTTGGTAGTATATGAGCATGTAGTCAGCGGGGTTCTGATGAGAAACTCCAAAAAAGGTTGTGCCCAATCTACTATGTCAGTAAGACGTTCCTTGATGCCAAGACGAGATACTTATCACTCGAAAAGGTGGTACTACACTGGTAAATGAGGCTTGAAAGTTGTGACAATACTTCTAGGCGCACACCATAGTAGTGTTTACTGACCAACCACTTAAAGCCTTGTTTACAAAAGTCGACCTATCCCGAAGAATATCTATATGGGCCGTAAAGCTCGGGGAATATGACATCCTCTTTGAGCCTCGAGTAGCAATAAAGGGGCAAGTGGTGGCTGAATTAATCTCTAAGTTCTTACCCAGGGATCATCACGTCAAAATGCAACCCCCAAATCTGAATGATTTAGCAGACACAAAAGGAAGTTGGAGCTTGTTTGTCGACGGATCATCGAATCACAAAGGAGTTGGAATCGGTGTCATACTTGAAAGCCCAGAGGGGGATGTACTTGAAAGAGTAGTAAGACTTGGTTTCCAAACCTCAAACAATAAGGTAGAGTACGAGGCCTCACTAGCTGGAGTGAAGCTTGCTACTGATTTGAACATAAAAAGACTTCAAATCTTCTCCAATTGACAACTAGTTGTAAATCAGATACTCAAAGAATATTTAGTAAAAGATGAAAGGATGATCGCCTATTATGATTTTTCTAGGAAAGAGCTCAGTCGAATCCCAGAATTCTCCATTCAACAGGTTGGTCGTGCAAGAAATACAAATGCCGATAGGCTAGCCTCCCTAGCTTCATTCGTAAATGAAACAAAGAGGAAGAGCCATTTTAGTAGAATACCAAATAGAGCCAAGCATCATGCCTCCATCAATAGAGGAAGTCCTTGGAAACGAGACTAAACCAAGATGGATGGATGAGATTGTTAGTTATGTCAAGACTAGAGACTTGCCCGAAACCAAAAGGGAAGTGTATAAGGTGCAACTCAAATTAGCTAGGTTCTTGTTATCCCCAAATAGGAGCTTTATCGACGTTCGTTCTCAGGTCTGTACCTAAGATGTGTAGATCCCGACCTAGTCCTAGATTTCTTGTTCAAAACCCATTAGAGGAGTTGTGGGGTGCACACAGAGGGAAGGTCGCTAGCCCACTGAGCACTTTCTCAAGGATATTAGTGGCCATACATTCAGAAAATTACACAATTGTTTGTTAGGCGAGAAATGCCAGGTTTTTTTTCCCAATTTCAAGGTAGCAAGCACAAGATTTACTACCATTAAGGATCCCTCAACCATTCAAGCAATGGAGGCTAGACATAGTAGGTCCAATACCCCGAGCTCCTAGGAACAAGCAGTTCCTACTCGTTGCAACTAATTACTTCACAAAATGGATAGAAGCACATCCTTTGGCCAAAATGAGGGATACAGATACTAGGAAATTTATGTGGCAGAACATCATCACAAGGTATGTCAAACTAGCTGTCCTTATATCTAATAACAGAACCAGTTCGAGAGTGGGCCCTTCAAAGCTTTCTGCCAACAGTATGAGATCTGAAATCGTTATTCTATGCCAACCTACCCTCAAAGTAATGGGTAAGCAGAAATTTGGAATAAAACCGTCCTGGATGCAATCAAAAAAAGGTTAGAGAAAACAAAAGGCAGATGGGTAGAAGAGTTGTCCAGCATGCTATGGACGTATCAAACCACACCACGACGTGCAACAGAGGAAACTCCATTCGCAATTGCTTATGGCATGAAAGTCGTGATACCCTTGAAAATTGGGTTGCCTACACTTAGAACTAACCTAGCAATAAACGGGAGTAACGACACCGTCATTAGTCGAGAATTAGATCTGCTCAATAAAAAGAGGGAGACGACAGTAGTTCGTATAACTACCTATCAGTAGCAAATAGCTGAAGCCTATAATAGAAAATTTCACCCCCATGCTTTCGTCCTCGGGGACCTGGTTCTTAGATGCATTATGGGGGCCACCATGGATCAACACATGGGAAGTTGGGCGTAAACTGGGAAAAACCATATAAAGTGATCCGTGTAGGAGTAAATAGATCCTACAAGCTTGAAACTTTGGATCAGAGGCATTTTGCCTAGGTTGTGGAACATAAATAACCTTTGAAAGTTCTATTTTTGAAGTACCTTCACAAAAATGAGCTCCGAAGTGCCTTCGGGAAATAGGAGTGCCTCCTATAGTGTATCTCTCCTTGATGTTACTTTTAGAACTTGTATTTCGAAAATGGACTTAATAAAAAGTCTATGCGAATATATAAAGTGTAAATTTATGGAATTCATCCTACTGCCAATGCAGGGAGACAAAAAATCTTGATAGAGGTAGAAGCCTAAACCAGGCGTAGCCATCCGATCAAACCTAAGCCCAAGGTTAGGCATGACTTCTTACAACATAACTTCTTAGAACATAAAAATCTTTCTAAGTGATGAAAGGTCTCTAGCTAGGTGCTAAGGACCGAACTCTTAGAAGAAGGGCTTAGCAAATGCCATAAATTCTTACAACATAAAAATCTTTCTAAATGATGAAAGGTCTCTAGCTAAGTGCTAGGGACCAAACTCTTAGAAGAAGGGTTGAGTAAAGGGCCATATCTTCTTAAAACTTAAAAATCTTCCTAAGTGATGAAAGGTCCCTAGCTAGGTGCTAAGGACCGAAATTTTGGAAGAAGGGCCAAGCAAAGGCCAAAATTTCTTACAAAATAAAAATCTTTCTAAGTGATGAAAGGTCCCTAACTAGGTGCTAAGGACTGAACTCTTAGAAGAAGGGCTGAGTAAAAGGTCATATATTCTTAAGACATAAAACTCTTTCTAAGTGATGAATGGTCCCTAGCTAAATGCTAATGACTAGACTCTTTGAAGATGTGCCGAACAAAATGCCATAACTTATATAATTTGTCATAGTGAAGAGGTCCCTAGCTAAATGCTAAAAACTGAATTCTTTGGAGAAAAGCCGAGCAAAATACTAAAAGTTCATTCAGGATACCCATAAAATTCCTAGTTGAGCATTAAGAGCCAAACGAAAAATTTCTTCCATAGATACATCAAAAAGAAGGATGATAAACTGATTTTTTTCATATGTAATTGCAGTATAAATAGAACTTTTTGATTCTTAGGAAGAAGCAGGTGTCCTAGAAGAGGTCAAGGTAGAGTAGCGAGAGAAAAGCTCAAAAGAATGATGCACATCTGTAGCTTTCAGAGCAGCAACCCAACCCTTTGTAAAATACACATTTCTGGTGAAGGAATCTGTGAAGCCAGGTCATTCTCCACCTTCTCCATGCCTTTATCAAAGGTAGTGTCCTCTAGATCCTTGGTTTCAGCGTTGAATTGATCAAATTCTTTCAGAAGGGTGGAATGTTCAAGTTGGGTTTGAGAAAGCTCTACATTGATTGCACTCTCCAAAGTCTTCAAATCCTCCTCCTCAACCGCAAGCTTCTTGTTCTCGTCAGTTAGACTTAACATTTGAACTTGGAGAATGAGCCTATCCTCCCAAATCTTGGCATATTCTTCTTTTGTGGGTTTCTTCTTCGCAAGTGCAAATATGCGGTCATGAATCATCTTCTTCATAGCCTAGTCCTTCCTGAAAATCCTCGCCCTAACCTCGTGCACTTTTTGGAGATCCTGTGAATCACAAGGAAGTAGGAAGCAAAGAAGAACAGAAAAAATCATCTTTCTAAAAAAAGATAGAGCAGTAATAAGAAAGAGAGACAATACCAGAACCATTTACTAGATGGTTTGCCGAGAGATCTCATCGTCAGACATTGCCTCGTTTGCAACCAAGTCTCAAGTCAGGATAACTCCCCTAGCTATCCCCATCGCAACATTCACGTCCGCGGCAGCTGAGTCCCGAATTGTTATTTCCTTTCCTTTTGCTTTAAGAATTGGATGGAAGGGGGGATTTGCTGTTCAATAGGAATTTATAGGAAGATTCAATGGTTCTTCTCTCTTTTATTTTTTTCGCACAGTCCTTGACTTGCATCTCCGTACCGACTAAGGAGAAGAAGAGATAGTAGAGTCAGCAGGAGCCACCTCAGGAGTAGGAACGGGTGGAAGAATCAAAGTGTCACGAATGACTTGGGTCTCAGCGAGTTGGGGGGCATCATCTGAAAGGACCACTTGCTCGGTCTCAAGAGTAGAAGGATGAGCCGAACTGTCAAGAATCTAAACAGCTAGAGCAGAAGGGGTGGGATTGCCTGAAGAAAGAAAACTTACAAAATACTTCATCGATCTATTCCTTCCAGATGAAGGGGCAACATATTTTTTTCGGGGTTGAGGGGTAGCAGCGCATTGAGCCTGTAGGGTATCTCGGTCCTCGACAAGCGTGCCATTGACTCACTTGGGAATTGCGATGAAAGAATGGTAGGTAGGAGTGTATCCAAGAAGGACATGGGCAGCTCCGTAGAACAAGTTGTCATTATACAACCATACTTTCTTTAGATCATCTATTTTCACAGAACGCTCAAGAATTTTCCCTTTGACAGGTTCACCTAAAGAAAAAGCATAAGATTGAGAGGAATCAGTTTGCATCCCAGCAGCTAAAAAGGGGGGGGGGGATGGAATGAAACCCAAAGGTATTTTCTTCGTATACCTAGTGTGCCTTCCTCGTATGGGCATCTATGCGAAGGAGTGTCCTTGGCCTTGTACTCCCAATTACCAAAAACAAAGACAACATTGCTTTGATGACCCTTGTTCGAATTAGAAAGATGAGTTACCAAATATCAATTTTTTCTCCTCACCTCTAAGTTGTAGTTGTCGTCGGCAAGTTTAAGGATATAGCAGAACAAGACCTCCCAAATACTTAGGCTCATGTTTAGGAGGTCATTCAAGGCAACAACACCCATGACTATCTGAAAAAAAAAATTAGGATAGCACTAAATGGGGCACAATTTCAAGGCTGAAAGCACCCATAGGAGGAAAGGGTGAGGAGGAAACTTGACGCCACCTTCAGTGATGACTCGAGTATGGATAGGAATGGAATCTCTAGTGCTAGTCAATGGTTCATCGACACAAGCAACTCAGATATGGACATCGTCAGGAATTTGGTGCTTGACCTTGAAGGCTGGTATGACTTTTGGGGCGAAGGAGCCATTTGAGAGATGATAAGCAGACAAAGAGGGAATGCAAAAGCAAAAGAAGTAAAAGCCAAAAAAAGGAATGCTTAGAAACCAAAAGACAAGCATTTAATGGAAAGAGACAAGGCAAGTACGATGCAGGTCTTAATGATCCATGTAATGAGGAATATGGAAACCTGAAATGATTGTCAGGCGAAAAATGGTTCACATACGTTTCTTGGGGGCAAATGAAGAGGCATAAAGTTATGCCATGTGTATAGGCAGATGATACACTCACGTGTTCATGAATGGACAGGTCATGTGGGTCATAAATAGGAACGATAAGAACCAAACTGAACTATGACAACTCAATTCACGGTACCGAGCATTATTGCACAAAGCTCAGCTTGAAACATGACCTTAACCGAACAAACAAGAAAAATGCCTACAATTAAGGGAATTTAGGTGCAACAACTACGCACAGTCAATGACTCAAAAGAGCAGCAATTGAGGGAGCGTCTGGATTTCAGCGATCCTTAACAAACATTATTGAGTGAGGGGAGATGTGCCATTTTGCCTCGCCAATAAAGGAAACCTTAGAAATGAAGCAAGGTCTATATAAAGCACAAAGGACGCACTGTGAGAGATATGCAGAATATTCTCTGCGCACACATTCTTTTCATACATTTACTGACTTAAGCATTGAAGTACCTTCGATTAAAGCACTTCGATCCTAGATAGTTTGTTGTTTTGCAGTGAGGACATTGAGAGAGGAACACAACTTCCATTTTCAAGTGTAGAAGGTATTGTATTCTTACCAGTTAAAATATATATTTAAATTTGAGTGAGTGTGGGTAACAAGGAAAGAGACGTGGAGGTGGAGCATTAGGGAAAGGAAGAAACAAAATGGAAGAGAAAGTGGGAAATTAATAGATGGCTAAATTCTAGAATATTTGAAAATGTGAAGGGAATGCTTCTCACGTTTCTCCATTTCATTTTATTTGCTTCATATATATAGAACACATAGATAGATATGTGGAGCAATGCCAGGATTCCACAAATGATATATATATAAATTAATGAGACTCACTCATTCAAGAGTCTATATTCATTGGAAAATAAAAATATCTCAGATTCATATTCCTTAATATATTTTCACTTAATTTTTATTTAATTATATATCATACTCGTTATGAATTTAGTTGAAGCCACTATATGGTTTCTATCCTTAAAGCAATTGAAAAATAATATATTAGAAGGGATACAAATTTATGTTGTAATAATGCCAATAATCATAATGTTATACATGTCGAAGACTAATGTTTAGATCCTATTTCTAACAATTATGGATAATCTATAGTAAATTCTGATGGAATCAAGTATTTCAAAGCAGATATCTTGCCCTTACGCGTGGGCAAGTAATCCAGAATTATGAATCAAGAACTAAAGGGAACCACAAATCTATATTGTTTCTAATCTTGAATTACACTTTTGTTTCTCTTCCATGCCTTTCTATACTTGGGAAGAGAACCGCGTTTGGTAATGCAAAGGTCTATGAAGTATAAGACAGTCTTATCCCATGCGAGGCCTATGAAAGATAAGACACACATAGTCTTATCCCAATCCAATGGCCGATTCTATAACTAGAAGTCTAGAACTCATGATGTTAAAAGTACAATTGAACCTCCTGTGCCATTCTACAATTGACTATTCAATTCACTCTAATTCCTGTAGAAATGTATGCATATCATTGCATCAACATCCATTCAATAAAGAAAAATAGTCCGTCTACTATACCGAAAAATGTTTTTCGGTATAATACCGTTAATTGCTTTAGACCATTGATTTAATTTTTATGAGTTTCTAGCCGTTGTTGAGTTTTGAGTAGAAGATACCAGTTACTTGCTGAACGAGTAATCACAATGGAGTTGAGTTTCACTAAAAAATTAAATAATCTCATCCCAAAGAAGTAGTAACATAACCCAAAAATGTGATAAATTCACCCGCAAAAGTTATAACCTATCACAACATAAGTAACAACCCCAAAATTGTAACCCCACACTAAAAGGTAATAACTCCACCACCCCAAAAGGTTGTAAGCCAAGCAACCAAAAAGTTGGAAGCTGACCCAAAAAATTGTAACACAATCTAGAAAAGTTGGAATCCACCCGAAAAATTGTAACTTAACCCATCATAAAAGTTGGAATCCATGCCAAAAAAATTAGAATCTAACCTAAAAAAGTTAGATACCACCCAAAAAGCTGGAACCCACCCAAAAGTTATATCCCAATCAGAAACGTTGGAACCCACCCCCCAAAGGTCGTTAGCCCTACTAAAAAAGTTGGAATCCTACAAAAGTTGAAACCCAACCAACCCCTGCAAAAAGTTGGACCCTATTTCACAAAAGTTGTAACCTAATCTTTCATAAAAATTGAACCCTTACTAAAAAAAGTTGAATTTCATCCCACAAAAGTTGGACCTTACCAAACAAGTTGGAACCCACCCCCAAAATTTATACATTATAAAAGTTGAACTCCTACCAATAAAGTTGGAACTCAATCAAAAAAATTAGATTTCGTAACTCAATTCAAAACAGTTGGAACCCAACACAAAAGTTGTAACCTAATTCGAAAAGTTGGAACCCACACCCAAATGTCGTAACTGATACTAAAAATATTGAAACTTAATCCAAAAAAATTGAAACTCAACCCCAAAAAATTAAATTTCATCCCACAAAAGTTAAGTCTCTACAGACAAGTTGAAACCCACCCCTAAAAATGTATCTATCATAAAAGTTGAACCCCTACCAAAAAAGTTATAACTCAACCCAAAAACCTAGATCTTATATCTCAATTCAAAACAGTTGGAACCCACCCCAAGAGTTGAAACTTTTGTCTTATCAAATTATGAGCGGTTTTGAAGTAGTGCAATCGGTCGTAATTAATTTATTTTTATTGTTACAACTTTTTCTTGATTGGTTACAACTTTTTTCTTACCAAATTACTATTGGTCATAATCTATTTATTTGTTGTTAATAACACTTTTATCCTCTAACTTTTATAAATTTTGAGTTTCATTCAAAAAAACTCAAAACACTAGGAACAATCATAAATATATAAATATTACAACATTTAAGAATAGTTAATTACAACATTTGTAAAGATTAATAATTGCAATTTTGTCCCATAAAATTTTAATTGATTTGGTCCTTAAAAATGGAACTATTTAAAAATATTCAATATTTTTTTACTCAACTTAGAAATTTTGTGATTTGTGATAGTTAGAGGATAAAAGTATAACATTAACCCTTTAAATTAGGATGCGTCTCTAGTGCTTGTGGTCGATTGGCTTGGCATCATTTATTAATCACACTTTTATTCTTTAACTATCAAATTTTTTCACTTTCATAAAAAAAATATTCGATTTTTATACTTTATCCCCTAAAATTTTAATTTAATCATTCTTAATCATTGTAGCTAAAATGATTAATTTAATCATTGTAGATTAGACTAATTCATAACAAAATTTTAATTCATTTTATCCCCTAAAATTATTTTAATCTAATCTAATCATTGTAGATTAGATTAACAAATTTTAATCTAATCCCATCAATATATAAATATTATCTAATTTAACAATGCTCAATTAGTTTTGTTTAATTACTTACGAAACGACCAGAAATATCTAATCTAATTTAACAATGTTTAATTATTCTTTTATCCTATTATTTTTGTGAGTTTCGTTAAGTATTATTTTTGTGAGTTTTTCGTCCAAATCTACATTGGAGATGATCGATTTAGTTACTTAAATTGAATATGATCGCTCATGCTTAAGTTTTTAAATAAATTATGTATTCAAATTATACTAATATTCATCTATTTTGTATTTTTTTTTATTTTCAAATTGCACTAATATTGTGGTCCACAATAACCTTATCTCTCCCTCCACCCCGTTTCCTGCTCAAACCACTTTTTCACTTCTCTTGCATTCCCTTTGTTCCTTTTACTATTCATATCAGTTTGTTTAGTTTCTGAGTTTTTTTTCTCACTATTTCATTGAAGGTGGTGATTTGATGAATTAAATATTTTTTTGATGAATTTCTATATTACT